TCACCGTCAAAATTAGGCGAAACAGGATCGCCAAAGGCCTANCCCCCCCCCCCCCCCTTTTCTCCTTTTTTTGTGTGTACTTTCATTTCCCTCTCACTCTCAAATTTCAAAAAGAGTCATTTTCCCCCCCTAACTTCTTCTTCGTCCTCCTATCCAAACTCCTCATAACCCATTTTTCTCCTCTTCAAGAATTCTTAACCCATTTAAACTCTCTCTTTTAAAACCCCTCAACCCCCAAAAAAAATTTGGATTTTTCCTCCTCATTGGCCGAAATTTTTCTCCTCTCAAAGCTAGGGTTTCATCTCCTCTTCAAGCTCAAGACTTGATTTTTGGAATTAGGTTTTGAAAGTGGCCGAAATTTTGGGGGGGTTTATGCAAGAACAAGGCCAAAATTTTGGAGGACTTTTGTGTAAAATAGGGCTGAAATTTTAGGGGGCTTATGCAAAAGTGGACTAAAATTTTGGGATTTTGATTGTATACCCATTTGGCCACAACTTTGAGGGGTGTTTCATGCAAAAAGATTACCAATTGTTGAGGGGTTTATTTGAAAAAAGTGGTCAAAATTGGTTGAGGGACTTGTTTGCAAAGTGGCTGAAATTTTAGGGCTAAAATTTGTAGAGTTTTGACTACACACCCATGATCAAACGTTTGAGAGGTATATGTGCAAATTGGACTGAAATTTATAGAGGGGTCTATTTGCAAAGTTGGCCGAAATTTGTAGAGGGGTTTATTTACAAAATTTGGCTGAAATTGTGAGATATAGAGGATGATGGTTTTTCTTCCTCGATCATGGCCAAATTCAAAGGTGTTCGTGGCTAAAATTTAACCTTGAACATGAGGGGTATTTTGTCGATCATGGCCAAATTCAAAGGTGTTCGTGGCTAAAATTTAACCTTGAACATGAGGGGTATTTTGGGTATTTCACCCAAAAGTTGATCAAGGTGTTCGTGGCTAAAATTTAACCTTGAACATGAGGGGTATTTTGGGTATTTCACCCAAAAGTTGATAATGAAGGCTTTAAATACAATTTGAACCCATGGTTTGCAGGCATAAAACTCAAAGGTTTAATTAGACTTCAACTATAAAATCCTATTCTGTTTATAGGACTTTAGCTAAAGTACGTAATTTCCCTTTTAATTTTCGGGTATTTAGATTTATGATTGTACCTAATCCATTGATTTTCGTTGCAGGTTAACCATGTCTCCGCTCCGACCGTGATTCCATAGGAGTCGCTCCTCTTCTCAGCATAGCAAGAGGGAGGCTCCCATAGCGTTCTCTTACGGGGGTGAGCTTTTATATTTTCTATATCCTCGCTTGACCCCTTCGCGGGTCATCGAGGAAGAACCGGTGTCCTCCTTCACGGGGATTGAGGTTTCGGGATGACTTGTAGTTCTGTCATGCCCTCGCATGGCCCTTTCGCAGGTCACTCGGGAAGAACCAACGTCCTCCTTCGCGGGGATCGAGGTTTCAGGATGATTTGTAGTTCTATCATGCCCTTGTTTAGCCCCTTCACGGGTTACTCGGGAAGGACTGACGTCCTCCTTCGCGGGGATCGAGGTTACAGGATTATTTGTGGTTCTATCATACCCTCATTTGACGCCTTCGCGGGTCACTCAGGAAGAACCGACGTCCTCCTTCGCGGGGATCAAAGTTTCAAAAAGACGTGTTTTGCTTGACAATTCACGTCTTCCGGCATATTGGGGCAATTTCGTGTTGTATTACACTGCGTAGGTCGGGGTACATTATCACGTTGCTTACATGATGATGCATACTATTTTTTAGGTGTAGGACACTCGAAATCGTCTCACCAATCAGTCAATGAATAACTCTATCATGCTAGCTTGTGAGATGAATTCAATCATTGTATAATTCATGAATAATTTTCTGATTCCACGTTTGTTTTGCTGCAATTGAATTCCCCATGGACAGCCTTCCTCCTCATGCTACTAGCGGTTGTAGTGGAGAGAATTTTGCTTCTGTTGTCGATAGGCAGGCCATTGGTCCGACTCCTCAGTTTGATAAGAGTCGTTCCAAGGAGTTCTGTCGCTTGATACGAGATGGGGGGTGTCGTTCACTGCGCCAGTTGATTACTGATGCCACCTTCACTAAAGACTCTATTTCCACTCAGGCTTTAGAGAAGCCGGGTTATTTATTTGGAGACCATGTCGAGGATCCGGCTAAGCTGATTCTTGATGATGAGCACTGGTTGAATAATGATGAAGGACTCCTTCTATACATCCCTTATATTCCACGCCAGCATTCTCTCACTCATTTGGAGACGCAGACTGTGCGGCGACAGATGTCCTAGAATCTTACAGATGACCATGATCGAGTTCATTGTGGATTTATTTCCCATCATAAGACCCCAGGTTCTGATCGTTATAATTATATTCGCGGCCTTCGACCAGTGATTCTGGGCCTTGATACCGTGCCACCAGATAAGGTGTCAACAGCCGCTCCTACTGTGAGGAATCATTTGGCCAAGCTTGGGAGGAAGTTACCTCCGATAGAGTTCAGATGCTTCGGTTGGGCCTATTCACCACCCAAAAGGTAGTGGATTCGTATGACCAGTTATGTCTTGGGACATTGGGAGAGTGATCTGAGAGGCAGTGGGTTGTATGCGCCCATACAAGCCACCATGTATGGATTTGCGGTTAGCAGTCACCACTTCCTATCGTTATTGGAGACATATATCCCTGACAGTAACACTTTCCTGACCTGCAGTGGAGAGTTGAGGTTAGCTCTGCACGAGATGCACAAAGTTTCTGGTCTTCCGTTGGGGGACTATCCGTATCAGGAGTACTTTCCCTAGAAGCTACAATTAGAGTAACTGAAGAAAGATTCTCCCAGTATGTATGTTATGTTTTGGGACCTTACGTGTCATTATTATACATCCTTAATCAAAGTTAGTCCTCTGGCGAAGAGGAAGAGGCAGATCAGTTTGAAGCAGTTCGCTAATTGTTTATTCCAGTATTTGGAGAGCAATTCAGGCGAGACTGTTTGTGAGTTGGCCTCTTTGACACCTTCTGCCATCAATGAGTTAATGGCGAGGTCCGAAGTTTGTTCCTTTACTATCACTGGCGCTGAGGGAGCTTTCCTTACGGGGACCAAGTTTCGGACATTCCTTTGTCACGCTCAGAAGTCCATTCGACCTAGGACTCTGCTGGCGGGCTATCTCGCCCTCTGGTTGAAGAAGTACGTCATTCCATATTAGTTTTCTGATGTGTTGTCTATTAAGGTCCTTTCCCCTGCCGTCCAGCTAGCTTACGGGAAGGAGCTTTCTCTGCTTCCGGCGATGGTTGCCGGCATTCATTGTGGGCTTAGGTATTTGGTCGATGGTCTTACACATGTGGGTTATGAACCATCAACCGAGCTTCTTTCTGTAAAGGTCGAGCTTCCGTATACATACCTGATGGCGTGGCTCATTCTTCATCATCCTGATTTGATGTCGGCGCCTAGTACTATTGATGCCTCCATTCCTTTTGTGCAGCTGTTAGAAAGGAGCAAGTGGTTTGGGAAGACATTCACTGATGTCCAGCGAGAGCTATAAGTTCGTAAGAGCTGGGAGTTCTTCAAGTGTTTCCCTCACTTCTCAGGCCGCTATGATGATGTGTTGATTGATGAGGAGAAACCAAGGGCCGGTCGGACTTCTCTTGATGCTGGTTGCCTCCGTTGGTTGGTGAACATCCGCATTAGATATCTCCTCCTTCGTGTGAAGGGTCGTTGCCATATAGAGCCTTATCTTCCGTGCCGCTTTGCTCGCTAGTTCGGTTACGACCAACTATATGTTGGGAACCCGAGCCGAGGCATGAGGATCGAGGGGGGCCTTATTGACAGTGTCCGAGCATGGCTTTGGACTATGATGGGCTGTACTGGAGTCTTTTTCGCTCTTCCTTCATCCAAGTGCAAACCGTTGCTTACTTTCCTCAGCTACAAGTGACTCCTTTCTGCCAACAAGTTTCTAGATGTGAAGAGCCTCTCAGAGTTGGAGGCTAAGCACTTGGTTCAAACTACTATCAAGGCTTCTCGTAAGACTGAGCTTTCGAAGAAGCGGGGAAAGAAACTTGCCAAACCCTCCTGTTCAAGTAGAGACAAGATGGAGGATGACGAAGAGCTCCTTCCTATCGATGATGGGGATGAGACTTCTGAGGAAGAATTTATAGATATGGATACCGATGGGGGAGAATTTGATACAGGTCTGTCAGACTCTTTCTTTTCAGAATTAATGGATCTGGCATTTTCTCATTGGTATCAACGCCATACCCTTTCTAGGTCTCAACCGGCTTTTCAAAAGCCAGAACAAAAGGTCTTATTCACTTATCCTAACAAGATGACTCTTGTTACTCCAGCTAGGATGGTTGACGAGCACGAGCCCCTTATTTTTCGTTATGCGAGATCACGGCCCAGCGCCGAGGCTTCTACCCAAGTTGAGATGAGTACTAAATCCACGCATGAGAGACCTACTGGTCCTGTAAGGGTTTGTCCTCTAAAATAGAAGAAGACCGCCCATAAGTCGCATATTGGTTAGTGGGCTCGCGGAGTAGAGCCACGAGGTACTACTGGTGGATAAGAGGGTAGTGCTCTACTATCTTCACTACTTTGAAATAATGCTCTTTTGGATTCCCTAAATCTAATCATGGTCCATGTTTCAGGAAGCCATGACGGAGGTGAACTTCCGTAAGACCCTGTATTCTCTGATCCTGGTCATTTGGATAGCCCGAGCTTCGTGCAGCAAATGTGCGATATCATTCATGATGAGTCTATGGATGTTAAAGCAAACAGAGATGCCACGCAGGCTGATAGCGTTGAGCCGGGGATTCTATGCCTAGGTATATCTAACATCGGTAATACACTATTCGAGTAGTAGTTAAAGGAGTTAGGCAATTCGAAATTTGTTCCCCCTTTAATCACTTCCGCGCTTCATTCTCTTTTAAACAAATTGAAGAACGCGGGCGTGAATATTAGGGTAGAAGAGCCTTCTACCACCGCTGCAGGTAAATATGGGTCTTGGGGGATTCAGCGAACACATGTATGTCTCAGCACAGAGTTTCTCGGGATCCGACACTAGATTGCTAGTTGAGATGTTGGCGGAGCAGGCCACCAGAGAGGCTGTAGGACCATCCTTCGAAGGTGGTTCATTTGCAGGTATGCATCTAATTTTTGACATTATAATTATATTTGTTTGTTGAGACCTCTATTTGACCGATAGGGAATTCTAATCGTAGGACTAGCCACTGAGACTGATACGGCTGTGATTTCTAGCATCCCTAGTTTAGCTGAGGGTGATGGATCTGTAGGTATGCACATAATCCCCTTCATCATTGTAGGGTGAAAATTTGATTCTTCCGAAGAAAGGAGTTTCGTTTGTATTTATAAGAAAGCTTATTACAAACTAACAAATCAAATGTTTACAACAGAAGCAGAGGGAAGGCCCTCTTTGTTTTGTGTGGGGACTTTAGGTGGCTATAGGACGCTTCGCTCGATGCTCGGGTCGAGTCTGCTTCCCTTGGACCGTTTGAATGAGGTTGCTGGAGAGCTTCAGTTCGCAGTAGAAGCTCGGGGCAATGGAGTTCGGGTCTGCTTGGTTCGTCGGCGATCGGAGCTCGGAACTAGGCAGCAGTGCTGTAATGCAAGGATTTGCTAACAGCTTGGTCTCAACTCTTTTTTCTCCAAGTTTTGCGACCTCTCTTCCATCGTGCTGGAAGGGGTTTTTAAATGAAAGAAGGACAGCTTGACTTCTCCTTGAATTGTGGGATGTGACCACATCCTCTTCAGAGACGTCTCGCCGTTCCTCGATACCATGAACGGTCATTCCAGGGATTGTGCTCTATGTCCTGTCACCTACGATGGGAAGGCCCATTCTTGTATGTGAGGCAACAAACGACTGCTATCCGAGTGGATTTGACCAGCATTAATGAACCGCATTTATGAGTTCGCAGATCGATGAAGTGTCTGTCCGATCACTTGTACTGTGCGTGACCGCCCGGCGTGCTTTGAGCACGATGCTTTCTCCTTTCCGGTCAGGAGAGGCGGTGAAGTAGGTGTACAGTACTCGAGTGGGTCTAGCCAGCTTGCCGAGTGCCGGCGGATCCAGCTCTTGGCTCAGACATCCGAGGTGAGTCGCATTTATGAATGCTCAGGTTGACTCGACACCTGTCCAGGCCTTCGTGCTGTGCGTACTGCGAGCGGCCGTTTGACGGTCCTGGGGTACTGTGCTCTCTCTCCCTTCGGGTCGAGAGAGATGGGAAGGTCCATCTCAGCACGTGGGGTAGTGGATACCCAGCTGTACTGACGGTTTTGGGGCTTGCTGGCGGATTCGACTCCGAACTCGGGCAGGCGAGTTGAGCGAAGAGCGAATTTCCGCCATCCTGATCGACCCTGACTCATGCTGGCGAGTCGACCGTTAGGCGAACCTGGACTTGAGTACAGTCGACGTCTACGCGGTTTAGGTCCGTGCCAGAGAACTGGGCGTGCGAACTCTTCTCGTAGACAAATTCCCTGTAGACCCATAGAGGTATTTTTTACCGTCTACAAGACCCCCTTCAAAGTTTTCAGACCTAAACTGGCTTGCGTGTGGTCTGGAATACTTTGAATGAAGAAATTGTTGGCGAAGCAAGTGCCTTCGATTTCTCTTAGGATTTTTAGCAAATCCTCAGCTATCAACGGGTTTGATGTGCCTTTACCGATTACCGTTTGAATCGGGCTAGCCATACTATTCTCCTCAGTATGATGAGTTGTCGAACAGTTTCTCTTAGGCTTAATGCTAAGATTTCTGCTCTAACCCTTAGCCATCTGGGGCGTGGGTTTCAACCGTTTAAGCAAGGTCATTCTTTTGGCTTTGTTCGTAATTTTACCTTTGAGGGCGAATGCATCGTCAAGGCGAAATTAGTTTTTGAGAGCCAATTTTCGCGCGACTCGTGGGGTTATGCCCAGTATTTGCAGGCGAAACCCTTCCTTTTGTAGGCGGAACCGGATCTGACGGGAGATGAGCCACGTGTCTGCTGATAGAGCCTCGTGCTTCCCAGCTAAGACATTGGATCGTGGCGATCGTGACTTGACAGCACGATCTTCGTGCGTTTCGCCCTGCGACGTATCGTGGCCGTGGTTCTCGGACTCAACCGTCGGATTCAACCGCCAATCTCGGTTCCTTCGATGTACTGAGGGTGATCTGGGCCGTCGAATTTGATCGTGGCCCCGTTTCCTGTCCGTTAGGGTTTTCGCCTTTCGAGGGCAGTCGTGGCCACGTGGACAACTCCGCCCTTCTAAATCAGCCGTTTTCCTCCATTGGGAGTTACCGTGCTTTCAAATCTTGAAAGGGAACATCCAAGGAAAGAATTCCCGCTTCCTCTTACAATGGCTCCGAAATCTAAGAGGTGTAAAGTGAGGGGTGCAGGCCCCGGACGTTACTCCGACCGTCTCTCTGCCGGCATGCCTGCCGGTGCTATGGAGTCGCGCCCAGGTACGTTGATGGGTTTGCTGGACGTTTTCTTGTAGGTCTTAGGCGTCGGATTTGGGGAGATGAGCGTTGCTCGTTAAGCTTGGTAGCCTTCCCGATTTGGGGCAAAGTTTGCCCTGTTTGCCCTTAGAAGACGATTACTGTCTCCGCGGGCGAGCCCTTCAGCGGGAAGGAGGCGAACTCCCTTTTTGTAAGGCGAGTCCGGCCCTTTCCTGTTAGAGGGACGTCTAGTCTGTAGGGGCAGACTTTATTCGAAGTGGGTTCCTCCTTGCGATTTCGCCCTCCTCTGTTTGATGGGCGATTTTGCCCCTACAGCGGATTTTGTCTTGATTGACCTTCTTCTTTTCTTTTTCTTGCAGCGACCTTTTCCGATGAGGCTTTTCCAGAGGGTGTGGCCGTCGGCCACGTCGGGGCTACGAGCTACGCAGCACCTTCTCGGTTTCCCTCTTTGGCTCCAGTACCCGTGTTCACCGCTGATAAGCCGCGTGGTCTGATACAGAGGGTCTCGGATGGTCATCATTTGACCCTACGCGAGCTGACAACCAACGCAGCGCTGACAGATGAGGCTAGGGCAGAGCTGCCGAAACCTCAATTTTTGTTTGGTGACTCCATGACCGACCCTTCCGCCCTGTTGCTCAAAGAGAGCCGGTGGTACCGCACGGTAGAGGGGACCCATTACTACCTCCCCAGCATGTCGAGAGGGTTTTCGATTGTTGAGCTGCGGTCCCTCGCGATCCCTCGGACGATGAACTGGGATTTGACCCCCACTCAGGACGGGGTCACTTGTGGCGTCTTTACGGGCTCTACGGCTGGGTATGGAGTGGAGAGCTCATGTAAGCGCGTGACGGGTCTGCGCCCTGGCTTAGTGTCTGCTGAACCGCCCGTGGGGGAATCGACAGCGGTGGCGGAGACTTTCCGTCACCGCTTCTTCCGAGTCGGTGGAAGCTTTCCCCCGAAGGACTTTAGAGCCCCGGGGTGGGTTTACTCTGCGCCTGGCAGCGACACGTGGTGGTCCAAGATCACCGACTATGTTTTGGCCGAGAATGCTGACCTCAAGGGCACAGAGCTGTATGTGGCCCTCGAAGCCACTCGACATGGCCTGCGGATCAACGCTTCTCAATTCCATAGCATTCTGGAATTGTATTGTGCGGAAAGCGGCACATTTTTCACCCCCAACGGTGAACTTGGTATCACCCCCTTCGAGATGCACGACGTGTCAGGGCTACCTCTGGGAGACTTCCCTTATGAGGAATACGTCCCTGATCAAGATGAGATCGATCAGCTGTCGGACAATTCCCCTCTGGCGGTTGAAACTCTGTGGGAGTTACTCTGTCACTTCCACATATGCCTCAGTACCTTAGGGGCCTCGGATCATAAGGGGAAGAGGAAGAAGACCCCAGGGATTAGCCACAAGAATTGGGCTGATTATCTGTTCCCTGGGAACGATGTCAAGGGGAAGCCCGCTCTCCCGTTAGGCGCGTGCGACCAGCCCGAAGTGGAGGCGAGGACAGCTAAAGAAGGAAGCACCATTACTCTTGACCGCGACGAGGGCGGATTTAAGGCTGGTACGGTCCTTCACTCATTCCATCATCAGGCGAAGTTTCTCATTTCGGGGAAGGCGCTGCTCGCGGGGTACCTCATGTTATGGCTGAAGAGGTGCGTAATCCCCACTCACTCCTTCGAGGCTCTTCCTATAGAGGTCGTGTATCCGGCGGTTTGCCTGGCTCACGGGAAGTCTTATTCCCTGGTATCGGCGACGATAGCGTGCATCCATCGGGGGCTCCGTACTCTGACGAGCCAATTCTGCCGTGTGTCGGTCCTCGACGAGGGGGAAGGAGAAGTTATCAGAACCCCCAATCCTAGGGTGGGGCTACCGTATACCTACTTGGTGGCATGGTTCGTCTATCACTGCGAATGCTTGATGAGTGCCCCGGCAGCGCTTCAGGGAGACAAGTTTGTTCCCTTCGTCCAGCGTTTGGAGAGGTGCTCTTGGAAGTGCAAGGACATCCCCGATACGAGGAAGACGCTCTCCCACTTCGGGCACTATAATTTTCGTCGATCTTTTCCTTACTTCAGCGGGGGTGGATATGGAGAATCTCTCAGGGATGCGCCGACGGCGGATCACCACACAATCCTTTCCCGTGGTGCCTTTCGCTGGTTGGTGGACATTCGACCAGGGTATCACGTTCTGAGAACAGGCTCCACATGCTATCTCGAGCCATACATCCCTTGCAGGTTTGCCCGCCAGTTTGGGTATGATCAATTGTATGTGGGCAACGCCAACCCTCGCCTACACTTCGAAGGAGGACTGGTTGACGGCGCTCGGGGGTGGTTCTGGACCCATGCTGGAGGTACTCAAGCTCGTTTTGAGTTGCCTGCGAAGGACCGCGATTTACACCACACGCTCTTGTACTGTCGGTGGTATCGGGGTGCTAGTGCTGACCCTGCCAACTTCTGGTTCCAAAGCTCATGTCTGGCGGAACGCGATCGTCCCATCAGGGCCGTCCAACGTGAGGTCACCGTCGGGAGTTCCAACGGCTTCTTTGCCCGCATCACGAGGTAGTCTTTGCCACAGTACCCTTGATTGCAATGTTGCTCTTGTACCTTTTGATATTGGTAATGGATCTATGCAGGTGCGGTTGAGAAAGTGATCTCCATTCCTTCCGACGAAGAGGAAGAAGCTGGAGATGATGAGGGGTTTACGGGCTTAGGTAAGTATAGACTTTAGCATTACTCGTTCTTTCACGCCTCACCGTAAATAGGGTCCCTTATGAGGGGTCTCCGTTAACTCTCTCGGTGCATTTGTAGCCGATCCTGCCCGCGAAATCGCCGTCAAAGAGGGTCCTTCCTCTTGGGCAAATCGCTCGTCTAGGGAGACGGGCGAATCTGAGGAGGATGACGACGACGCCTCAATACACGAGGCCCTGTCGAGTGAGGAAGAGGACTTGGCTCATGAAGATGCGACTGGTCAAATAGGGGGATCCCCTGCTCCTGCGGCGGTGTCTGCTGAGGATCGTTCCTCAGTGCGAGAGTCACCGCTTCAAAGAGAGGTTTCTGCTCAGCAAGTGATCACCTCCCTGTCGGGGGTCGCCGTTGATGCCATGATTGCTGTTCCGAGGTCATCATTGGTCACACCGGCCCTGGCGACGCCAATTACCACTTCCACAGTTATGGCCACCGGTGCTTCAACCGCGGTTCCATCTATGATGGAAGAGGCTGCCCTCTCTCCCTTGGAGCGTGAGCGAAGAAAGAGTGCGGCACGATCCGTGGCTGAATTCCATGACACTATGGCTGCCTGCATCAGGCTCGCGCTGGAAGAGAGTTGTCCTTTCGAGAGCTTCGAAGAGGATATCGACTACATCATAGGCTTCTTAATCAAGAGGCTAAAGCATTCTGGGGCGCAGCCTTATTTCCAGCGTAAGGAGGCGGTGAAAGAAGCCATCCAGCAGTTGCTTGCTCTTCGCGCGAAGAGTTCCACTCTTGTGGATCTTGCATCCGGCGAAGTCCGAGCGGTGGTGCAAGAGCGGGATCGCCGTCTGAATGAAACCATGTCACTAGAGGCGAGATTGTCAGAGGAGTTGGAGCAGGCCAAAGCTGAGAATGAACGGATGGTCTTCGAGCGACAGAAGGCTGACAACCGCGTTTCTCGCCTGTCTTCGGAGGTAGAGACTCTGAAGCAGGTCATAGCCAAGGCGCGGGCCTCATTGGCTATTCAAGAGAAGGCTCGTGAGCAGGCGGTCAAAGAGTTGGAGAACATTGAATCTCGCCAGCAGCTGACTGCCAATTCAGTGGAGGAAAAGGAGCGAGCCCATAAGGAAGCCAAAGAGACCGTTCAAGACTTGGCCTCGCGTACGGATGAAGATCTTCGCCGAGAGATTCTAAGGAGGCTTGAACTTCGCCATGCCGAAGAACTTCGTGAGGCGGAGCTGCGGTTAAAATCTCTGTAATTCGCTTTCAATTTTCCGTTTGTAATAGGACTTCTTTTCGTTTCTCCGATAAGGATTCCTGGAGTGGCTCTGTCCGGGTCTGGAGTGGCTCCGTCTGGGTCTGGAGCCGTGTCGCCTGCCTCACCTGCCGCATCGGGGGCAGTTCAAGAGGCTCCGAAGGACGTTCCTCTGCCGTCCAACGTGAGGTCACCGTCGGGAGTTCCAACGGCTTCTTTGCCCGCATCACGAGGTAGTCTTTGCAACAGTACCCTTGATTGCAATGTTGCTCTTGCACCTTTTGATATTGGTAATGGATCTATGCAGGTGCGGTTGAGAAAGTGATCTCCATTCCTTCCGACGAAGAGGAAGAAGCTGGAGATGATGAGGGGCTTACGGGCTTAGGTAAGTATAGACTTTAGCATTACTCGTTCTTTCATGCCTCACCGTAAATAGGGTCCCTTACGAGGGGTCTCCGTTAACTCTCTCGGTGCATTTGTAGCCGATCCTGCCCGCGAAATCGCCGTCAAAGAGGGTCCTTCCTCTTGGGCAAATCGCTCGTCTAGGGAGACGGGCGAATCTGAGGAGGATGACGACGACGCCTCAATACACGAGGCCCTGTCGAGTGAGGAAGAGGACTTGGCTCATGAAGATGCGACTGGTCAAATAGGGGGATCCCCTGCTCTTGCGGCGGTGTCTGCTGAGGATCGTTCCTCAGTGCGAGAGTCACCGCTTCAAAGAGAGGTTTCTGCTCAGCAAGTGACCACCTCCCTGTCGGGGGTCGCCGTTGACGCCGTGATTGCTGTTCCGAGGGCATCATTCGGGGGGCGCCGTTGATGCCGTGATTGCTGTTCCGAGGGTATCATTGGTCACACCGGCCCTGGCGACGCCAATTACTACTTCCACAGTTATGGCCACCAGTGCTTCAACCGCGGTTCCATCTATGATGGAAGAGGCTGCCCTCTCTCCCTTGGAGCGTGAGCGAAGAAAGAGTGCGGCACGATCCGTGGCTGAATTCCATGACACTATGGCTGCCTGCATCAGGCTCGCGCTGGAAGAGAGTTGTCCTTTCGAGAGCTTCGAAGAGGATATCGACTACATCATAGGCTTCTTAATCAAGAGGCTAAAGCATTCTGGGGCGCAGCCTTATTTCCAGCGTAAGGAGGCGGTGAAAGAAGCCATCCAGCAGTTGCTTGCTCTTCGCGCGAAGAGTTCCACTCTTGTGGATCTTGCATCCGGCGAAGTCCGAGCGGTGGTGCAAGAGCGGGATCGCCGTCTGAATGAAACCATGTCACTAGAGGCGAGATTGTCAGAGGAGTTGGAGCAGGCCAAAGCTGAGAATGAACGGATGGTCTTCGAGCGACAGAAGGCTGACAACCGCGTTTCTCGCCTGTCTTCGGAGGTAGAGACTCTGAAGCAGGTCATAGCCAAGGCGCGGGCCTCATTGGCTATTCAAGAGAAGGCTCGTGAGCAGGCGGTCAAAGAGTTGGAGAACATTGAATCTCGCCAGCAGCTGACTGCCAATTCAGTGGAGGAAAAGGAGCGAGCCCATAAGGAAGCCAAAGAGACCGTTCAAGACTTGGCCTCGCGTACGGATGAAGATCTTCGCCGAGAGATTCTAAGGAGGCTTGAACTTCGCCATGCCGAAGAACTTCGTGAGGCGGAGCTGCGGTTAAAATCTCTGTAATTCGCTTTCAATTTTCCGTTTGTAATAGGACTTCCCTTTCACGAATGAAATTATCCCTTTTGTTTCTGGCCTATTGTCATTTGTGTGCGTGTGCCATTTTCGTAACCATGCATTGGTCAGAATCAGGCCGCAAGAGGACCTCAACTGCAGCGGGATTATCATCGATCGATTTGTGCTGTAGGTTTATTTGCATTGAGGGGTGGATGTATCGCCTCGAAGAACTGGCCAACGAAGATTCCTCCGATGAGCCACCGCCCCCTTCTTTGCATTATCTGCTCGAACGCAAGAATCGGGCGAAGAGGATTCAGGCGAAGGAGGCTGAGTTTGGACGCCTGCGGAAGCGACAACAGGCGGTGCGGGACCGGATGGATGCTTACTTGGACCGGTCCTTCTTCGAGGATGCCGGCTCTCTTCGCGGCGAGGCGAAGCTGCAGGAGCGGGGGCTCGAAGTGAGGAGACTCGGCGAGGCTGCCGCGGCGGTGGGCCAGGAGCTCCAGCTCCTTCGCCAAGAGGAAGAAGCCAGCGAGGCGGACTTGGCCCGGCGGCAACCGGAGCGGAAGGAGAAGGCGAGGATCCAGCGGGCTGCGGAGCGTGCGAAGCTCAAAGCGAAGATCGGCTCGTTCAGCCTGCTGAAGTTTTTGTAATGCCGTGTTCAAGTCCATCCTTCTGTCTTCTTGAACTTTTTTTTTTGTCAACTTAGTTGGTGCTTCGGGCATCACAACTAAACTGAAAACTCATGTAAATTGTAGTGGTCCTTTTGCTTATTTTGTTCACCTTTGCTTTGCGCCTACAGTTTTCTCTCTTTGACTGCGCCGTTGGGCATTTGAATTGAACTTGACGATCCACTGATTGTCCTGTTTAGGACTTAGTCACATTAAGCTCTTGTTTTGCCTTCTGTTGCTCACAGCGTGAGATCGGATTAACTCCGATCTTCGCGTTGTAGCTCCAACGGGATCGAAAGAGTAACCCAAACGTTTGCCTTTACGGCCAACTGAAGAACTTGACTTCGACTCGCCTTTCGGCGAGTTGTTGTCTGGGGAACCGTCTTCGACGATTGTCGTCATGTGGGAATGAGACAATTGATTGTGGTAAAAGTCATCGCCTGGTAGACTCTACCCATCAGTTATCCTAAAGCAATGTTAGGACATCCGGAACAGGTCAGATAGTTCAGGTACGTAGGAGTGTGACTATTGACAGGAGTAATGGCACGTCGCATGGTAGGCCATTGTTCAGGCTATGCTATTCGTAAGAATAACGGCGCCAATCATCAGAGGTGATCATTAACTTGATGAGGTGATGTCGCGATTGAAGCGACCGTGGGGGCCTACCATTCCTCAGAATAGGAATGGTAAGCGGATTTTGTCAGAGGTTTAATGTTAACATGACAGAGGATGTCGTGATTGGAACGACTTTGAGGACCCACCATCCTATAGAAGAGGGATAGGCGAATTGAGTGGATTCGTCGTGATATGAACGACTTTAATGGATCCGCCTTCTCATTGGAGGATTGGTAAGTTGATTTTGTCAGAGGTTTAATGTTAACGTGACAGAGGATGTCGTGATTGGAACGACTTTAATGGATCCGCCATCCCATTAGAGAGATTGGTAAGTTGATTTTGTCAGAGGTTTAATGTTAACATGACAGAGGATGTCGTGATTGGAACGACTTTGAGGACCCACCATCCTTTAGAAGAGGATTGGTAAGTTGATTTTGTCAGAGGTTTAATGTTAAAGTGGATCCGCCTTCTCATTGGAGGAGATAGGCGAATTGAATGTATATGTCGTGATATGAACGACTCTAGTGGATCCGCCTTCTCATTAGAGGAGATAGGCGAATTGAATCCCACAAGAGGCTTTCGCCAGAGCGGGCAAAGTAGGAACAGTTTAGCCTCGTGTACTAGTTGGAGGGTTTTGAGGGCCAGTTTAGACTCATGCACTCTTGGGAGTTTGTGAAGGAGCACTATGGGTAGTACTTCTTCAGGTACTTGCCGTTGATGGGCATCATGATCTTATCGCCGTTCGGTTTGACGAGGCGATAGGCGCCGTTTGAGTAGACTGTCTCTACCACGAATGGTCCTTCCCATTTGGACTGGAATTTCCCCTTCTTCTTGGAAGTGAGGATCATTGGTCTACGGACGGATAGGACGAGCTCTCCTTCTTTGAAGGCTCGGCGCTTGACTTTCTTGTCGAAACTCTTGGCCATCCGAGCTTGGTAAAACTCAATGTGCTGCTGAGCTTCCAGTCGCTTGTCGTCCAGTGCTTCGAGCTCTGCGAGTCGAAGTTGGTGATTTTCCTCAGTCGTCATCCCTGTCGCTAGGGCGACGCGCAGGGATGGAATCTGAATTTCTAATGGCAATACAGCTTGAAGGTTTCGCCGTTCCAACGCATTGGCAGTCGGCGAGGACCGTGTGGATGAGTCTCTCGCAATGACACTGAGGATTCGCCTCGTGAATAGGGCGTTTGCGAGTCAAGAATTCTCTGAGGTCTTCTACGGGTGGTTGGTGACAACCCCCAGCCTCAGAAGAGTCGCTCTGGTGAGTCGACGAGAGATGAGAGATTTTTGGGCGCTCTCTCTGGCGCGTGTTGGGTGGAACGCCTTGGTGTTGGAGTCAGGCGATCTCGCCTTGACTGGCGAGTCTTCGCGTTTGAGCGAATTCCAGTACGTGGGCGAGTTTCGACCCCGTGTTTAGAAGAGCGGGTTCGGGAGGAACCGCCTATTTCCTTTCCTTTACGTTTATCCGCCAAATGATTATGGCGAGGCTCGCCAGCCTTCGAGGATTCGCCTACTTGGGTAAGCTCGTATGCTCGGTGTGGTTTGTTCGCATCAGGGATATGACCTGAGAAGCGAAGTCCTCCTGAGCGGATGGCTCTGCTGTCCTCGGTTGACGCTCCTGATTTGGAGGGCCTTCCGAGGTCGGGCAGCTTGCCTTCCTGTCTAGCGTTTCTCGGGCCTGTGTGATGGTTCAGGCCATTATGAGAAATGGAGGTTTGGACCCCCTGTCTGACGGGTGTTTGCCGTCGCTGTTGGTTAGTTCTCCCAGCGGGGAGAACGTCACCGTGGGTTGTGGCATTGCGGTTTGTACCGGAGTGAACTGGCACTTCCTCCGAGGTAGGTGTCTGTGTGGACCGCTTGGCGATCCATCTGGCAGACCCTTGCCTCTTGCGCTCGATCTCTGGCTTGGCCTTGATCGATCGCGAGGGAGTGGGCTCCTCCGATGAGACTCGGTTGGAACCCTCGGGTGCGGAGGCTTTGACCGTCTGAGGTCGGCCTCGGCGCACAGCTCTGTGGCGTTTGCGGGACGCATCGCCACCAGAGGAGGAGGAGGACAAGTATTCTTCGTACTTGGCCTGGTCGAACTCGATTTCGAGGGACTCTACTGTCGTCCCGATAGTAACCTCATCAAACTGAGCCACCACCATTTCACTCGATGAAACAGCTGCTCCCACTGTGGTCGCCATCTTCTGTAGGGTGAAAATTTGATTCTTCCGAAGAAAGGAGTTTCGTTTGTATTTATAAGAAAGCTTATTACAAACTAACAAATCAAATGTTTACAACAGAAGCAGAGGGAAGGCCCTCTTTGTTTTTGTGTGGGGACTTTAGGTGGCTATAGGACGCTTCGCTCGATGGTCGGGTCGAGTCTGCTTCCCTTGGACCGTTTGAATGAGGTTGCTGGAGAGCTTCAGTTCGCAGTAGAAGCTCGGGGCAATGGAGTTCGGGTCTGCTTGGTTCGTCGGCGATCGGAGCCCGGAACTAGGCAGCAGTGCTGTAATGCAAGGATTTGCTAACAGCTTGGTCTCAACTCTTTTTTCTCCAAGTTTTGCGACCTCTCTTCCATCGTGCTGGAAGGGGTTTTTAAATGAAAGAAGGACAGCTTGACTTCTCCTTGAATTGTGGGATGTGACCACATCCTCTTCAGAGACGTCTCGCCGTTCCTCGATACCATGAACGGTCATTCCAGGGATTGTGTTCTATGTCCTGTCACCTACGATGGGAAGGCCCATTCTTGTATGTGAGGCAACAAACGACTGCTATCCGAGTGGATTTGACCAGCATTAATGAACCGCATTTATGAGTTCGCAGATCGATGAAGTGTCTGTCCGATCACTTGTACTGTGCGTGACCGCCCGGCGTGCTTTGAGCACGACGCTT